CTAAAAAAGTACTTTAAACTATATAAATAAGTTACCCGGGTAATTGATTTACATCAGCCAATCAAATGAATATCTGACCATGAGCCTACCGCAGAAATATCTAACCCGATTTTTGCCTTGTTGTCCTGGGAGATAATAATTATATCATTTGCAAATACTTCTGCAAAAACTCGAGCTGCCTTAACAGATGCTAAACAATAGTGTTCATCTATGTGTTGTCTTATATCGGTTTTTGCAACTGATGCCAAACTGACTTTTGCAAGATAGTAGTGATGGCGAGCTGCAAATATGTATTTGTGTCGAGGTTTCAAATATGTTGACAAACAATAGCATGAGAGATAAAGGTTGTATTTTTCTTCTAGTGCTTTACATAAATGTTTGATAGTACAAACTTTAATTACTGTTTTTTGTCTTTTAGTATGAGCAGATCTAAATTCTATACAATCATGAATATTGTCTCAAAGATCCAAATTTAACATAGCTGCTAGTGGTTGTCCAGGTTTATTATATTGCTCAACAATACTTTCATCTTCAAGTTGTTTTTGTTTTTTTGCCCTAAGTTTGGCTTGAGCTTCTACATGACGTTTAAGTTTTTCTAGTCTTTTTTCATTTACTTGAATACCTATTCAGTCCTTTTCAATTTTGGCTGATAATTCTTTTTTTGCATTAGAATCACTAATGAGTTTGATTGCTTGTTCGTATTCAGATATTCATTAAGCTGCTTTCTTGATTTTAACTATTGCATCATTTTGATCTACTGCATTTTTGCAATGTTATTTAATGATTGTGATAAAATTACTAATGAAGTAGATGCGAGCAAAACCAATATGGATATAGATAAAACCAATGTGGATATAGAAGATCTGGAGTTGGTGTTTACTATAAAATTATAATAGAAACAAATTGTACTAGGTTCTGTTATTAAGTATGATTGGATCCTTTCACAAATAATAGTTTTATTCTTATTTCTTATTTCTTTCCATACTGCTTGAGCTTTGCTCAATAATTTTTGTTTATTGAGGATAAAGTTGCAAAGAGTAGGCTACTTATAATAGACATAAGCATTGGAGAATTCTTGATATAAATCAGTTGAAGATTTATAAAATAGGTGTATATCAAATTTAGGAAGTTTTAAAAAGCTCTGTATTTTTTTTTTTCATAGTAAAAAAGCAAATATAATGTCTTTATTTAAGATGGTTCGAATTCAAAGATACTTTATTAATTTTAAGCAAAGATTAAAGCTTTTTTATAGACAAACATATATTTTTTATACAAAAATGAATTTTGGAATCATGGCAAATTACAATGAATACAAAGAAGAATCATTGTTTTGTTTGACTTTCTTAGATAGCCAAGAAAGTTGAAATATGGTATTGAAATATATTATTGGATTTTGGTTGATAATAACAAATATGTATACATGTGTATGTATATACATTATGCATTTACCTGCCTCCATGTCCATAGTACTGTTGTCTGGCATATCGCCTAGTACAATCATTTTATTTTTTATTATGTTTGTTGTCTATTGTTGCTAGAGATAGGAAAAATATGCATTTTATAATAACATGTGCATAAATGTGCTCATATATAAAATATATATGATATCGTATAATATAACTTTTTTTAATTTTATATTTTTTCTCTAGAAAATATCAGATATTTGCCAAAGTTTTTCTTTGACCCTTCTCATCTTTATGTTTATTCATTTTCTTTTTGAAATTTTTCAAAACTTCTACATTTCTATTTCTTCATTATACACCTTAACCTAAATTGAATTACTTTAGATAGGATAAAATGCACATAATTCTGAATCATGCACATTAATATGCATAATTGAGGAATTATGTGCATGTATGAAACCCATCTCTAATTGTTGCTAATTTTTTGTCTAGTTGTATTAGATATATTTTTCACATATGTTTGATTTATTTTTATCAGTAGGTTGTAGAAATTTGTGTATTATTGATATCATTCTATTTGATTGCTTAATTTAGTTAAGCCTTTTATCTAAAAACTCTGATTTTTACAAAATTGAGTTCTCATAATTGTAGGCATTTATGATACAGATTACAGTGAGCTATTACATGTAAGAAAAATATGATTTGAATACTCATTGTTTTATTGTTTGGGGTATTTGAAAAATTGATGATGATCGATTTGATAAGTTTTTGATGTTTAGTTGACATTAGTAACTTAATTGATTTCAACTCAATAACTTATTAATTCGGCATTAAAAAATTTTTCAGATATTCTAAAATGAACGGGTTATGGTTGGAAATTCAGATAAGCCAAATCTAAAAAATAGATTTTTTATACTAATAATTTATATAGGAGTACTTCTCCAAATTTTAGTTCAAGATTTTTTAGTGCTGGGCTAATATTAAATAGCACTATTTAATAGATATGAATGTGGGTATAAGCACAAACATAGATATTTGATATTTATTTTTAATTGTGCCTGACACTTTGCCCAGCACTTTGTGTTTATGTCTTTAATAGTGTTTAGCACTTTTGCACCTATAGATACAAGCATGGGCATAAGACACTAGTACCTGGCCTGGTACTAATATACTAGCATGGAAACTTAACCAATTAGAATTTTGATATATGAGTGTTACCAAGTGAAAATCAAGTTAAATTTGATAGATCAAACCCAAAAAAATGTAATTTAACACACTATATAAATTGTGTTTAATTTAAATTTATTGGAAGATAAATTAGAATGTGGGGCTAGCAAAAACCAAAATTATAGGTTTTTGTTTGGTAATACTTATACTTTTATTTGAAGTTTTTTGTATTAGTTGAAGTTGTGACAAAATTTTGGTTTATAAAATTTGTAATTTTATTGGCTCTAAGCCCAGGTTTGGTTTGATTTTTTTATTTTTGATTATTTATTTATATATATGATCACACTATACATGGATAAGTAAAACTCTTAATAAGAAAATATTACAAGATAAATGGCACACCTCTAACTTCAAGCAAAGATATCTCTACAACCACCTAACCAAACTTTATAAAATTTTTTATTTGAATTCTAAAAACCATAGAATTCAAATAAAAAAAAAATTATCAAGTTTGGTCTAGTGGCTGTGAAGATATTATCACTTAAATTTAAAGAAAAATCAAAACACCTAACAAAATTGAAGCTGCACTAACTTTTTTAAAATTGAAGTTGTGCCAACTTTTTTAAAAAATTTGAGTGAAAAAATTTTATAGCCACTAGACCAAAATTGATAATTTTTTTTATTTGAATTTTATAGATTTATAGAATTCAAATTAAAGAAAAAAATTGATTTTTGTACATTAGTTTCATGTAACTTTATATATATTAATATAGGTTTGGCTAATTAAATTGCAGTATTAGTTAATTATGCTGCAATTTCATTGGCCAAACCTAAATTGATATATGTAAAGTTACATGAAACTGATATATAAAAATCATTTCTTATAAAAAATTTTTATTAAGTTTGGTTAGGTAGTTGTAGAGATATTTTTGCTTAAATTTTTAAAAAAGTTAGTACAGCTTCAATTTTAATTAGCAGTTTGATTTTTCTTTAACTTTGAGTAAAAATATCTTCACAGCCATCTAATTAAATTTGATATATATATTTTTTTAAATTCTATAGATTTATAGAATTCAAATAAAAAAATTATTGAATTTAACCAGGTTGTTGTGGAGATATTTTGATTTAAACTCAATCATATGGCTTATCAATATAACTCATAATACAATTCGAGTAAAATAAATAATATAATATAATAGTAAGCAAAATCTTTATTAAAAAAAAGTAATAGAAGCGTGACAAACTATAAAATCATACTATGATATAACTAATAAATTCATAATTCTTTTAAACAATACAATATAATCATAATAAACAAAATTATATCATTATTTATTAATAAAAAAAACTACGAAATATTACTATGGCATAACTAATAAATTTAAACTAGCTAAAAGGTGTGGTGACTTAGTGTAGTGGTCTAGTTGTCACCCTCTTTAAGTGGCAGGTCTAGAGTTTAAATCTTACAGATAACAAATTTTGGAAAATAGGTTTGTATTATGGTTAATAGTTGTTGACTATCAGTTGGATCTAGAATTAAATCTGTAATCTCAGTTACACTATCTAGTTATAGAAGCTTTGGTGCAATAAATCCAAGCAACTAGAATAACTGAAAACCTAATTGGGAAGTCTTGAGTTAAGAAGTATCAGTGATTTCTGATGATACTGTATGAGGGCTAAATTCGAACTGGGGTCTGAGATCGGAGAACCGAGTGACCAGGTTCTAATGACAAAGAATACACCAGCCAAACTGCCAGGTTCTGTCGCACTAGAGGAAAAGGATATATGCTTTGAAAGTATGAACCAAGAAGAGGGTATCCTTCAAACACCTAAAGCCTAGGCAAACCGACCTTTTCGGGTTGCTGGCTAGAAGTAAGGAAGGGATCGATAAAGAATCCAAGTAAGAAAACGGTACTAAATATGGGTATTAGGGTTGTTATAAACCTTGACAAAGACAAAGAGTAAGTAATTTGGGAAGGTTGTGGCTTGAAATACGAACCAGGTTATAGTAGCATTCTAAAAAATGGCTTGAGGTATGAATCCAGTAATAGCAGCATGAAAGGAACTAAAGTTAGTTACAAGAAATTTAATAGTTAACCCTAACTCTGAGTGCATAGGTCAAGCTATAGTATAAAATTACTAAAGTTTGGGTAAGGCACATGAGTAGGACAAGTGCCTTAGCAAATAGATGAGCATAGCTTTTTATTGATCTAAAGGGGAACTTTCTAATAAGTTAGGAGCCAAAAGAGAGATAAATCAGTGGCTAGATAGTTGCATATGGGCACTGTAGAGCAGCCATGTGATGCTTTACATATGAATGGGAAGTATAGTGGTCTGGGAATTGCAATATTACGGAAAAGGACCCAGGATATATAGAAATATATAGACTAGCTGTTGTATTACTTTGTAATGTACTTAACTATTTAGATGTAATAAAGTAATTACTATTGAAACAAAAGAAAAGTAATCTAAATGTTATCATTATACACAAATATTTTAGTATATAGTTATAGACAGTGTTAGGCTTGGACACAGTGTTGTACATGGGACAATTTTAAACAATTTTGAACAATTTTTCTAATTAAAATTACTCAAAATTTTATTAAGATAATCTATCTTAATTTTTTTACCAATAAGTCCAGTATCTAAAAAAATATATAATTATATATATTTTTAAATTACTTTATTGATTAGTTAAACATGAGACATAGGCTTGAATGATTTTGGACAATCTTGGACATTGGACATTTTACATAGTGTGGATATGTCCTATATACAACACTACTTGGACATATGTCTAATCATTTTTATGCTATTAAACTGAACATAGACATTAGACATATAATTAGACATAGTCTAGTCTAATAGTATCCAATAACAGGGTTCAGTTAAGATTATGTGATTAATATCCAATTAAATAACGAATTTTAGATAAACAATTAATGTGAAGTAATGTTTCTATAAACCTGAACTGAACTAAACTTTGGTCAAGCCAATTTTAACATTATAATCATTATTTTAATCACAAGACAATATTCTACAAGTTTATTTAGAAGCTAAAAAGAAGTAAAGGTTTAAAATTCACTAATTTTATTAATAAAATTATAGAAAATATTAAATCCACAAGATTGTATTAATTAAACCTATCTTTATGTTCTAAGTAAACTTGTTCTACATATAAAAATACACTATATTAGTATACATTTACTTTATAATTTTAAATTTTAAGAGAAAAGATATTTAATTTTGAAATTTTGATCAAAAATTCAAAATTAAGTATTGTTTCTTTTAAAATTTAAAACTATAAGGTAAACATATATTTATATAATATATTTTTATGTGTAGAACAAGTTTACTTAATACATAAAGGTAGAATTAAATAGTATAATATAGTATTTTTCACAATTTTATTAATAAAATTATAGAAAATATTAAAATTCACAAAATTGTATTAATTAAATCTATCTTTATACTCTAGATAAACCTGTTTTATACATAAAAATACACCATATTGATATATATTTACCTTATAGTTTTAAATTTTAAAAGAAAAGATACTTAATTTTAAAATATTAATATTAAAATTTAAAATTACAAGATAATGTATATTGATATAATGTATTTTTATATATAAAACAAGTTTACTTAGAGTATAAAAGTATACTTAATTTTAAATTGTCGACAGGTCTGGCCATGACTAATCTTATTTATTAATATTTATAATAATATAAAGGGAAATTCTATTTTCACCTGGGTAAATTTCACCTGTCACATGACCCAGGGCCGTAAGCCAATCATTTTTGTGCAGATCACGTGACCCGCACTATGGCAACAACCAATCAATTTTGCTGAAATCACGTGACCTGTGCTATTGCAATAATCAATCGAGTTAGTTTAAACCATATAACTAATTTAAATATTTAACAACTAATTATTATCTTTATTGCTACAGACCATGCTAATGACAATTACATAACTAATATTTAGGTGATATAGCCGATATACGTATGTATAGTAGTAGAATCTAGTTACTAATGAAAAAATTAATAATGCACTATTATAGCTGTTTTAATAAATTCTGGGACACCCTAAAAAAAATTTGCCGAAATCTATTCGGCCGAATTCAATAAGTTATTGATTTTGGATTGATTAGTGTGTATATAAAAAAATTATTGAGTTTATTACAGCTCATTGTTTGATCGATATTATATTATATTCGCAACGACAACTTTTTCAACATTATTTTTGTTCTATCCAATATATATGATATAAAATTTATACCAAAAAAACGTTCTTGCCAATTAATAGATCTTCACTAAAAAAAAGTTTGGGACATTCTTAATAAACATATAAACAGCTTTGAATTTAAATAAAAACAAATTTTTTTCAAGTTCGTTTTGTGAATCTTTTTATTGTATAATTATCTTTGGTAACTTATAGTATAGTAAACTTGTTTATTAAAATATACTAAATCTATACAAAAATCAAAAAAAGTTTGAAATTTTGCCTTTTTAATTGTAACACTCTATATTACACGAGTAGGCACTAATAAAAAAAAAGGTTAAATATGATCAGGGCTTGTGAAAAAAATGCAACACAAGTAGAAATCAGAGGTCAAGATTTTAATAATATTTGTCTACGATGTCTTGATAATTATAATAAAGTTCAAAGTATGTATAACGTTTGTTTAAAGTGATGGTAATTAACCAATGCAGCCATATCTTTGAAATTGTTTGACAGAAAACCTGTTAACACCCAAATGTTTAGCAAATACTCTAACTGAAGCCTTCTAGAGTTCTTTCAACTATTTCCATCGAATATGGTTTGAAGAATCTTAGTAACGAATGCATATGTATTATGCATTTATATATATGTATTACCGAGATAAATAGCTTATCGAATTCGGCCAAATAGACTTCGGCAAATTTTTTAGAGTGTCTTGGAATTTATTAAAACAGCTGTAATATCATAAATAGTTAATAATTTGCTGATTATATTGATATAATTAATTAAATAAATTATTAATAAATTAATAAAATTTTAACCTGCCAATATCTTGGCAATTTTTAAGAAATATTGGTACAACTTTTCATTTTTTATTGATCCTATACTAATTAGTTGTGCCATATATTATTAAGCTGCTATTAGTTAATAATTCGATTAATCATTCTCAAAAAAAAAAAAAATTTTTTTGTGAATACCCAAATACCTGAATATCCGATTGATTTAGAACTTGATCGAAGATCGATTTCTATATATATAACTATTTTTATTTAATGATAAATTAGATAAGTAATTGTTTAGCAATAATTACTATTTTATATTAGAAATCAATCTTCGATCAATGTGATTGATGTTCTAAATTAATCGGGTATTTAGATATTTAGGTGTTAGCAAAAAAATTTTTTTTTGAGAATTATTATTTTCAAACATTTCGAAAACAGTGATAAATAATTCTTATGTTAAAACAGTTAATTACTAGTAGCCTAAAATATTATTATTAGAAGATTAATATTGGTTGTAACAGGTAATTATTAAGTATAACACAATATAATTAAATATGAATAATTTTAATCACCAGAATAGTTATAATAGTAAAAATTGCTTTAAATAAATTGGTTAAAAATCCAATTTTTACTAGCTCTACTCACTTCAACGGGAAAGTTTATTTAGCTGATATCATGTAAGTTACAATCAGTATGTATTTCAATTAGAATCTATAGATTCAATGTTTCAATTTATAGATTCAGTAGAACAAGGTTAGTCTAATTACCCAATACTGGTTACAATTAAATATTTTATAGTGATGCTGATTAAAAGCAAAGTAATCAATATTTCTTATTATAGATATAATTATTCAAAATACGTAGAAGCATAATTTTACACAGAATAGTGATATGTAAAATATGTATATATGAATTTGTCTTGATATTTATAGGATTTTCAATATCAGCTTCTTTTAAAGGATATTGTTCATTCAGTTTATTTACAAAAAGAGCCAGGGTATCATTAATTTCAACATAGCCAACTCTATTAGAAATCACTTCAATTTCTTTAAGCAAATCGGCAGTACTTTTATATACTGATTGTTGACTAACTGGAATTTTATGAATTTCATAATTTGACGATAATACTGCTATATTAATTGAGGAATTGTCATCATTATAAAGATTTTCAGCCTGTATAGAATTATTTGTATTCATTTTGGGAACTATCCAACGGGAACCAATGTAATTAATGCTTATAGTTTCTTTATGAAAAATATGAATAGCAATAATATGGCGACATGGTAAAGAAAACTGTAAACCATAATTACAATGATAGACCAACCCTATTTCAGTCTAATATATCATATACTCACTACATTTATTAAAAACTTTAAATAAGTTCATATCTTGTTTTTCAACATTATAAGATGCAGCCTTATTAAACTGATCAAGCAACAATGCAAATGTAAAATCTACTACAAATGTTGAAACTTCTTTTAATAACTTCGGGCATTGTTGGCGAGTAGTTTCACATAATCGATATTGCTGATATTGAGATTGTTCAAGCTGATGTCGAGACAATTTCTCTAACATATTAATTAGTTCAGGTAAAGGTGCTGTATGACCAAGTAAATGCTTTAAGTGCGTATTACTAGCTTCTGAACGTTGTGTAGTCCTAATACCATAGTTAATATTTTTATTAGTATAACTATATGCCCACATATGCGAAATAGGTTTCCACTGCTCCATATAATTTTTAGCTTCAGGATATTCTTCTAATAAACGATTCCAGCGAATAACAAATTGCTTATCATTATTTTCCATCATTAATAACTTAAAATCTTTACTGAATGCCATGAATTTATTGTTAAGTTTGCTTGTCAAATTTTTAACAATGTTTTGTTCAATGTGCCAAGTACAAAATTGATACTTAACATGAGGCAATTCAATACTAATCGCAGGAAGCACAGCTGGATCTTTATCAGTTAAGATTGTTCTAATTTTATTAGTAATATCATTACTAGCTACTTGTTTTAGTTGCTGAAGCGCCCAACGAAAAGTAAGAATGGTTTCATTAGAAAGAAGTACACTTGCAATAAGAAATGTAATACCCATTACATCAACTCCATTGATAAGTAAAAGCGGCATTCCAAACCGATTTGTTTTATATGTGGAATCCATTAACATAACCTCCGGATAACATTTAAATATTGATAGTGCAGAATGAGTAGTGAAAAATAGACAATAAAGCCTGTTATTATTAATAGAATAGGTAACTATATATTCTTTTTTGTTATGCAAATTATTTAAGAGTTTTGCTATTTGTGACAAGCCTTTAACATGGTCACGAGAATGGCGATTTAATGAATTATATACATCCTTGTTATGAATATATCTGTCATATTCTTCGCTTAACATTTTAACAATTGTTGGTACTGGAACTCCACTATTATAAAGTATTTGTATTTGGTCATTTTCATTATGACTTAATTTGCAATAACCAGGATCAAACAAAACTACAGTAGTATCTAACAAATGATTGTGTTCAAGGTTGACAGATTTCACATGATATTCTGTTTTTGCCCAATGAACTGTTATTTTGAATTGGCAACCAGTAGCAACACTCTTTGTATTTCGTAGTCCAGTGCTTTTTTTACTTGCAGTACCAGCATAACGACAAACAATATCTGCCCTAGTAACCATACCCATACTTTTTTCTGAACGATCCAATCTTGTTGCAAAACCTTGTGACATAGTATAGGCATTAATACACTGCTGAACATCACACCAACTGGTAAAAGTTTGTCCTACATTAATTGATGGTATCATGGCTAAATAATTATTAGACATCTGAATTGAGTTATTATTGTCAATATTAAGACCATTGTCAAAGTTATTGTTAATATTAACATTATCGTTAAAGCTATTGTTAATATTAAGGTTATCATCAAAGCTATTGTCAATATTAAGGTTATTATCAAAGCTATTGTCAACATTAAGGTTATCATCGAAGCTATTGTTGCTATTCATGTTTGTATTGAGATGAGTGTTAAGTTTATTTTCAAGTTCAAAAGTTATAACAGGATCAAAACTCATTCTTGAAAGAAAATCGCAAAAAAAAAAAAAAAAGATAAAACAAAGTTTATATAATTTATTCTATTGACGTAATGTTTATCATTTGATTTAAACTCAGTATTACATATCTTGTATATATACTTACGATATCTATTATACTTATAGTATATTTGTTATTTTAGACTCAAAAATAAATATTTAATATATTATCATTATTCTTGTCATATTTACATACTTATAGTCTTTATTAAATTTAAAATTCAATAGTAGTATAGTTACAATTAATTAACTTATTGTAATTTTTATTGTATATAGTTTGCAAAAGAATAAATTATGTAATAATGAGTATATTTACTGATATTAATGTAGTTTAAAAAATACTAATTTTTTCATTAGTAATAAAAACTCAGAGATTTTACTATTATATGTATGTATATCGGCTATATTACCTAAGTGTTAGTTATGTAATTGTCATTAGCATAGTTCTGTAGCAATAACAATAGTGATTTTGTTAAATATTTAAGTTAGTTATATGGTTTAAACTAACTCGATTAATTATTGCAATAGCGCAGGTCACGTGATTTTGGCAAAATTGATTGGTTGTTGCCATAGTGCGGGTCACGTGATCTGCACAAAAATGATTGGCTTAAGGCTCTGGGTCACGTGATAGGTGAAATTCACCTGATTGAAAATAGAAATTTTCTAATATA